ATGCAGGGACATGTTAGCTACTGGTTGTGAGGACAAGAATGTTAGAGTTTATTATTTACCTGCTAGTACAGATATGCCTTTGAAGGTTTTCTCAGGTAAGAATTGGCTGTCCATATATCCACCCATCCATCCTTTCATCCCTCTATTGATTTATGCAGCCATCCATCCATCCATCCATCCTACGCTATCCATATTATGTACACCATTCCTCCAACCATCCACTTATCCATTCATTTATCTACTCTCTCCCCACTCTCCCAAATCTCTCCATGGGTGCATCCATCCATGGATCCTTCCTACACTATCCATATAGCATTCCTCCAACCATTCACTTATCCATTCATCTATCCACCCTCTCCCCACTCTCGCAAATCTCTCCATGTGTGCATCCATCCATGGATCCATCCTACACTATCCATACAGCATTCCTCCAACCATCCATATATCCATTTATCCTTACCCTCCTCTCTCCATCCATCTATTCCTAGCTTAATTCATTATCCACTTATGCATTCAACACCCCCTCCCTCCTTTCGTCCTTCCACTTCTCACTTTATTCGTCCGTCTGTCCATCCATCCATCCATCCATCTATTCATCCACCCATGCATTGATCCTTTCCATCCCTTCTATCCTTTCCATGCATTCACCCATTCACCCATTCTTCCTCTTATCAATCTGCATACCAAAATATCTATTGACCTACCCAAGTATTCATTAACCCACCCATTTACAGTATCTGTTTGGTTATAGGACATACTGCTAAAGTATTCCATGTCAAGTGGAGCCCTCTCCGAGAAGGTGTACTGTGCTCAGGATCAGATGATGGGTAATAATATGATTACGATTAGTCACTTTATTTATTTACTTTTTTGCTGCCTTCCAGCTATGGCTGAAAAATGTGGAAAGGTATGCATCACTTGAAGTGTTTRKARGAATTACRGTACTTTCMRCWCTACYATGTACTTTCMMTACYAATCACAGTACAATTTGCAAAAACYTACTAAACTGCTATAAAAACATTCGTAAAGCAGTTTAGAAAATTTTTTAAAAGTAATACGCTGTTCTGATGTTCTGATGTTGTGTGGCTGACGAGCACACAAAAACTAGGTCTGCTCCTTCATCTTGCAAGGCAGCACGAATTCAGTTCAAAACAAAAGGTCAATTTCTATAATTTCCTTCTATAAATGCATTTCATGTGCTTTTATATCTTTTATTGTAGTGAACTAATGACTGGTGACCTCATTTTCTTGCACTTGTTAGCCATTATGAGAAGGGTGTATGATCAAACAAAGGTCAAGTCTCACCACTAAACACTCACTACAGCTACCATGTCTGCTACCAACTTATGACTTCACTTCTACTTAACCATATCAATGTAAAGCTGTTTGTCTACAAGCTCACACATAGCTTTATTATTATTATTATTATTATTATT